TTTGTTCTTTACGATCCAGGGATCGAGTATAGTGGATTTGATTATTCCAACGCGATTCGATCTAGAGATCGTATCTCCAGCTATTTTTCTATCTTATAGAAGATGTGGCTCGATAAGAACTTACTTTTGAGATTACTCCGCATAATTTAGATACAACGTTCGAGTATCGACTTGATTAATCCGGCGCGATGGGATCTACAGAGATTGCGGTTGTTTTTCTATCTGATAGATGTAAACTTTGATTAGCAGTGATTTGCTTTTTGAACGGAGCGATTAAACGGACGTCGGAATTTTTCGACGAAGTCAACGCGACGTCGTTCCTTGCAGAATCTAGGGAGCGTCTAGGAACTTCCAATAAAGGATCAACGATCAAGGAGGAACAAGCATTCAGCAGAGCGATAACTCTTCGGCAATAGGGTCTAGGACGGAAGACGAGTAGCGTGTGCAGCAACGATCAGACAGCTCGCCGCGGAGGATTGATCCAATGAGATAAAAGGTAATTAACGATTCCCGGGGCATGATTAAGGAGATTAATCAGCGTGACGACGTGCTATCCGTGTTCTGTCGCTGAAAACGTGCCGCTGCGCGGCGACTCAATCGAGATTTACGATGTTTCCTCGGTGACGTGTTTAATTCGAATGTTTTACTCCGTTCTCAACCGATTCCTTCTTCCCGAAACTATTGTCTTCCTTATTACAACGGTTAACCCTTTGCACTCGAGAGGTGATTCTCAGTCACCACTTGATCCGATGCAATGAAACTATAAAACTTTGGAAGAGAACGCCTGTAAAAGAGTTGCGGAAGGAGAGTTGTGTGTTGGCCTCCAACTTTTAGCTTTATCTTATTAAATACATATATTTATTCCTAGCTCTCGATTACTCAAGATCCACCCTTTCATTATTTATATTATATTATATACTGTATATATACAACACTTTCTATCAATACTCGTATCGATCAACCGAATCGCATTCTTCTAGAAACGAGATTCTTCTCTAATAAGATCCCTGACATTCACGAGTCTTTTTGGAAACTTACAGAATTCGTAGTATTCTCGAAATTCTGGGTTCGAATTTTGAAGTACGTTTAAATTTAGTTATAAGAATTATTATTATTATTATTAATATTAATAATAATATTATTATTAACCCTTTGAACTCGGAAGGTAACTCTGTCACCATTTGATTTGATACAGCAAAACTATGAAGTTGAATGTTTACTATTTTAAATTAAACTTTGCATTGCAATGTGAAATATTTAAATAAAATAGCTTTGTTGCTTAATTTATCTATGAATCATCGTTAAATCAGTTTCAAACAGTGTAGTCTTTATCTCATCAGTGTTCAAATATTTCTACTGAAAAACTGCGGAGTGCAAAGGGTTAATATTTAATATTGAACTGTATATAATGCATCGGTGTGTGAAATATTGGGGTAAAATAGCTTTGTTTCACAATTTACTCGTGATTTCTCGTTGAGTTAATTTCAAGAAATATCTTCTTTGTCTAGTTAGAAAATGTTAAGTACTCCTAACGAAATACTTCCGAGTGCAAAGGGTTAACCCTTTGCGGACGAAGATTGTTGAAAGTATACAGAACCTTTTGCAAATTCTGCTAAATTAAACAATGAATGCTTTAATCATACAGAATAAGGAAACTGTGTACTGATTTCTTGCTGTTCGAACAGTTAAATCATTTGTTTACAACTGGGTATTCCAAACATGGAAGTTTGATCTCAGCAAAATGCCAAAATTCGTCTGCAAAGGGTTAAACCATTCGTTCGCAATTTACTATATCTAATATAAAAGTTCGATCTCCCTAAAATGTTAACCCTTTGAACTCTGTAGGCTCCAATATTGCACCAGTTGTAATATTAAATATTTTACTGAATCTTAAAGAAACTACCCTAAAATTATTCGATTTTTCACGCATCCAAATTTTGTACTAACAAGGAAAATAAAAGACCGAAGAAATGTTATAGTATTTCTAATTTTCGCTAAGAATACTATAGAAATTTTTTGCAGTTGCTGATAGATTACAAAACAACCTGGAGTGCTAAGGGTGAACCCCTTGCCCTACAATATCGTGCCAGACTCGTGGCGAAGATTTCAAATAAAATAACAAATTTAAATATCATTTAATTCTTCCAAGTCCGAATTGAATATTATTTTTCTATTAACTGTAACACTTCTGTGCGTAGACATAGAATAGACGAAGAATTTCCCTCTTTGTTTAACACTGTTTCCACTGAGGTGTCGACAGACCGAATTTTCAACTTAACGCTTAGCACTCCAGATGGTTTTGTAATTTATCAGCAACTGCACCTAATTTTTATGGTATCTCTAGCGAAAATGAAAAATGCTATAACATTCCTTCGATCTTTTATTTCTCTTCTCAGTACGAACTTTGGATGTGTGGAAAATCGAATAATTTTGGGGTAGTTTCTTTGATTCGTTAAAATATTTGATATTATAACTGGTGCAATATTGGAGCCTACAGAGTTGAAAGGGTTAAAACTATTTCCCAACCTTAGTCGTATGTTCTGAACTGACCTTCGACTTTACCAACAACGATTATAACACTAACTACAGGAATCATCCAAAATTCAATCGGGGAGAATTGTTAAACTGAGAGAAGAATTGTAAGTTAAAATTTCAGAAAGTGTACTTTAACACCTTTAGTAGAAATAGTGTTAATGAATTGCGAACAATAAAATATCTCTGTTGAGTACAATCAAGTAAATCATAGGGCAAGGGGTCAAACGACATTCGTCTCCAAAGGGTTAATTCCAATTACTTTGTTCCAGCTACCTCGCAGCAGGGAAACTCGTTTCGATTTTTTCCCCGAGATCGTCCAGAAGAAAGAAAATCCCTTCGTGCATTCGCACGCATTATCTCCGGG